GTCTTGTAAAATTTGTACATTTTGTAAAGGGCAATAAACAAATCGGCTTCATTTTTTTTATCAGTTTTTCAGTAAAACAAGTCAAGGTTAAATTGTAGCATTTCGACTGTTACTCATCTCTTTCTTACTCTCTTTTTATTAATGTCAATTTTCAGAGTTTCCCAACAGTGGACGATTTCAACTGTTGGGTGAGCGATGATCAACAAAAAAATGAGGATGGATAGCGATTGACCCTTGAACTGAAGAGGTTTTAGGGTTATATACTAAAGTTACATTTTTGTGTTACATTTTCAGCTTGTTAAATCTTTGCACCTCTCTGATTTTGATGACCCCCGTACGTAACTCATGCGTTGGGCAACCTCTTTTACTTACAACCATGCATTATTGAAAGCAATATAAACAGTTATATATGTACGTATGCGTGCGAAAACAATTGTTAAACAAATTTACTTTCAGTTGTGTCGTTGATAATCCTGCTTTGTCAGAAAAATATTTCTTACTCCGTTCTCTTGAACAGGAGTAGAGTTTTATCTCTTGGTTCAGGATTGGGTTTCCAGTTCCTTCTAAAGTCTTCTTATTCTCTTTTACTCTCAGTAGTCCCTTGTGTCTTAGTGGCATTATAGCCTTACTTGGGATGAATTGATAAAAAACAAAATAAGAAGCTCTAGGGAGAAGAAACTGGACAATCGTTAAGCATCTGAACGCTTAAATTTTAGTGTATAGCAAGATTTCCTAACCTGGGCGATATCGACCACCAGTGGACGATTTCAACTGTTGGGTGGGCGATAAATTAGCTGAACATAAAATGGTGGAAGACTGGAAATTTTGATGGGCGATATAGGATTTTGAGTATTAAAAAGCTATTCATATATATATATATATATATATATATATATATATAATATATACAAAAAAGCAGGAGGCTAATTAGGAATAACTGAGTCACATTCCTAGATAAGATATAAATATCCCCGTAAACAACGAATGTTTTGGAATTTGCTATAGTTTTGAGATGCGTCATTAGCATTCAAATAGTTGTTCAGGCAAAACAACATTTTTTCAGATGTCAATTACGTAAGGGAAAACCAAAAAACAACAAAAATATTCAATGAATCTTTATTATTTGTTAGTATTCGTTTTAGTTTAATAGCTGTGAACAAAAATCGTTTAATTTTTTGTCAACACTTGCAAAGCTAACCTTAACCATAGAATTCACCTGGACAATTAACCCGGCCCCTGCTCCTGAAAAGGCCCTCCAATCAGTGGTTAACTGGGGCAGGAAATGGCTTGTAAATGTTAGTGATTTCAAAAGGAAACTATTCTCATTTAACAACCATAGAAAATCTTCCTACCCGCCATCAGTGTGTCTGATCTTCGACTCCTGTAGAGCAACACACTTCTTTGCCTCAGGTTTTCAACTGACTTGAAGTGGAACGATTACATCGAATCAATAGCTAAATTTACTGCAAGGAAAAATGGTTCACTGTGTCGTGCCAGAAGGTTTTTCTCGTCCGTGCATTAATTACTGCTGTCATATCCGGTCTGCTGCTCCTGTAATTCATCCCAAGGTTCTTGACAAAATCCAAAGAAGTATATTTGTAAAGTAATCGATTGTAACTTGGTATCTCGACTTCAGTCAATTTCTCAGTGACGTGATGCGGCTTCCCTCTACCAAAATTTTCTACCAAAATTTTCATGGCAATTACTATGACAATCTGTTTTCCCTGCTGTTCGTACTACGTGAATTTAGCTGCTAGATTGGCATCTAAGGCCCATCATTTTACTGTTGAAACCGCCACTTCTACTCCAACAGTTTCTTTTCTCGCACTTCCCAACTGTGGAACTCTTTTCCGTTTCCTTGCTTCCCTGAGAACTGCATTCTTCAAAAAATTAAATATAACGTCAATCACCATCATCTCTCTTCTTGAATTCTGTTCATCCTTTATCCTTTCCTCAATTCCTGCTATATTCTTTTCTCTTACTTTCATTCTCTGTAACCCCCCCCCCCCGCGTACTAGTTGCATTTCCGCCTTGCTTGGGGCGAAATGATAAAAACAGAACAACAACGAAAAAAACAATAAATTAAATTATATATATAGTTTTCACTGCTCAAGTTTGCTTTCGTTTGATCTTAAATACGGTAGTAGCAGCAGGTCAGCGTTATTTGTTATCTCCCTTTGGTATTTTTATTACATCATAAAATTAATTTATGAAGCAGTAACAAACTTTTACCAAAAATATTGCTATACAGGTGGGCAGTGTAAAAATTTTCTGTGTAAAAGTGGGCGATGACACAAAATAGCTGAGAAACCCTGGTTTAGTCTCATGATGATAGTCGATATTATTTAAATTGTGGTAGGCTGCCTCTCTATCAGATTGAATAACTGAACCAATTTGAGATTAAATTTTTTTTTTAGTCCAAATAGATATGTAATTCTACAGGAGGATGCTGAGGATATCGTGGATCGAACATGTAAGCAACGACGAAGTTTTAGAAAAAATGGAAACAAAATAGAAATTTATACTTAACATCAGGAAGAGATAGTTGAAATTTCTAGGACAGACAATGAGGAAAGAGGGATTGGAAAATTTGATACTCACAAAACATAATCAAGACAAGAGGGAGAAATGAAAACAGCGCATGATTATACTTAGTGAATTTGAGTAAATGGAAGGCAGAACAAGATTTAGGAGAGGTAACAAAAAGACAAAATTTATTAGGAACTACAAAGACAGGAAATTGTGAAGAGCCATGATCGCCTACGTCCTAAAAGGACACGGCACATAAAGAAGTGAAGACTCGGTCGATACGAGCACCATGATTCTTTTAATTTTGGAATCTCCGTATCTGCGTCTTCGGAAAGATGGGCATGATCACCAGTTAAAATCCTTCCAGCAATTCCTCCTTGTTTGGATGCTTTATTCGAGATCAGTGATTCACGGGGAGAAATCAGAACTCAAATGATTAGTCATACAACAATATCACGAACACAAGCCCCGTAACCTATTAGGGTCGCAGGGGCACAATATGTGCCGCGGCCGTAGCAGTCTGACGGAGCCCATCCCTTTTCAGGCGGTTTTCCTTCTCCTAGACTGGTTGCAATTGAACCTATAGGGCCTAGTCTATAAAGCGACTGGAAATTGAACTCGGCTCTCCGATTTCTCATTCCGAGTCGTTATCAATCGCACCACTTAGGCATCCACCAACAATAATGAAGACATCAAATGCTGAAGTAGATTGCCTAATGCAGTAGCAACAAAGCCATTCTTATATACACGACAGTTCAAAAGTTTGAGGAAGCCCTTGTTAATTTTTTTTAAATTGGCCCTGAAAGTAGCTGTTTTTTTTCTTTAAATAAGAATTATTATTATACATGGTTAAAAAAAGAAAAGTGAAACATGATTTTTTATTAGAAATTTCATTATGATAAAAAGTGAAAAAAAAAATTATGATTAAATTTTGCTTTCGTCAAAATATTCTCCTTTAGCCTTGATTACTGCGGCATAAAGTTTTGGCATTCGTAGCAAAATATTCTCAAAGTTTAAGTTTGATAATTGACTCCATTATTTTTTCAATGACTCTAAGAGCTGTTTTTCATTTTTTTCTCTCTTCTGTCAAGTTCATCCAATGATAAATCTGGGGGTGGCTTCAAACTTTTGAACTGTAAATATATATATATATATATATATATATATATATATATATATATATATATATATATATATATATCCGCATAACCTCTCTGATGGCTCATGTCAGTCGAAAGCTTAGATCAAGGAACAGCTTAATATTTTGGACAATTTTTGTCTTTATTTTCACCTGAAATTAAAGCAAATACATGAAACGGCTCATGATCAAACCTAATAGACATTCATTGTCTGTTATATTTAACAATATAACTTTATATATAAAAATGTTATACATCACTAATGTTTGGCAATCGTTTCAAAATATTCTCAAAGTATAAGTTTGACAATTGATTCCATTCTTTTTTCAATGATTCTATGAGCTTTTTTTCATTTTTGAAAAAAACTCTTCTGTCAAGTTCATCCCATGCTAATTCTGGGAGTTGCTTCAAATTTTTGAACTGTAGTGTAAGTGTTTCTTTGGCTCATCCTTGGAAAGCAAAATATCAACAGCCCAATCCTTTTTTTGTTTTTGTTTAGTTCAAATACCAAAGATCGATCTGTACGATTACCATGATTCTTTTTTTTTTTTTAGAATCTCGGTATCTGTTTTTTTCGGAAAGTTATGATCAGAAATTATAATTCTTTCATGTTTATATTTATGCCATACATCAAATGATTCTTGTTTGAATGCTTTACTCTGGAGAGGCTTACGGCCATACCACATTGAAACACTGGACGCACCTGGCCAGTACCTAGATGAGTGATCATTTAGGAATATCAGGTGTCGTAAGTTTGAATGCGTGGGTGGTGTAATAGACAACGGTTCAGAATGAGAATTCGCAAAGCCGATTTCCAATTTCAGTCGGCTTCATTATAGTCACTTACTTGCCAATATCTTTGGGATAGGTATGAACGCCCAGCTCTTCTCTCCCCAACTATAGGTTAATTAGTAGGACTAGTATCAGTAAATATTTATTATTTTCAAAAAAGTCTTACAGTCTAAAAATATTCCCTGAGTTCAAATTACCCGCAAAAGGCTGATAAGACGTAAAAACATTCACTTACCCACAAATAACATTGGAAAAGGGAGGAATCCGCCTGTTCCTGCCCCAACTATGGGTTAATTAGCAGGACTTGTATCAGTAAATAATTATCTGAAATTATTTTCTGGCTTTAAATAACCTGCAAAAGGTTGATAAGCTGTAAAAAACGAACTAGTTATTGGAACAAATGAATCACGGGAAAAGTCATGACTCGGATGTTAGATAGACCCCAAATGGTAGAGCTCAAATGTTGAGATAGATTGCATACTGCATTAGCACCGTAGTTATTTTCATGACGCTTTTTGTTCTCTAGATCAAAACACTTACCTTAGTGGCGAGTGTGGCGCTATGTAGGATATCACCTGGCCAGAAAAGCTGAGAGGCAACCGTAACTGCTGTCAGACTTAGACTGACATTACCGCCGGCGTCAAAGGTTGTATCAAGGTTGTGCTCATCGTGGTAGATATACTTTCGGACGGCGTTGTGCAGTACGGCTAAAACGATGGAAAAACCGCCAAAACCGAGGAGCATTAGCAAGGCACTTTCATGTTTCTCCAGCACGGCGGTCACTCTGTAAAAACAACAACAATAATAATAATAATAACCTATAAAATAGGCATCCGATAGGTGCATGTTAATTTGTGCATTTGGTACTGTAATACAGAAAAAACGGCACATCGTAACATGATTTTTATTAACGCAGGGCGCAACGGTCGTGCGAACTAATGAAGTGAGTGACAGGCACAATAACAACAACAACAACAACAACAACAATAATAATAATAATAATAATGAAGCTTAATGATAATTAGCATTTGCAAATATTTTTTGAGTTCATGTTAATTCAAGACATGTTTCTCAGAATATGGTTGCTTTTGCTGTTGTCTGTGGATTCTGTTGGTCTGTAGGCAATTCCTCAGTAGGGACACCAACTCTGCATCAATAGTCTCAAGTAACGGCATACAGTCCTCTTCAGATTTCTTTTTACTCGCTTTTATTTTGGTGTGTAGGGGGTTATAGTAAGCGTAGTCTCTTATAGGAAGCGAGTGGAAGAGATAGATAGATAGAGAAAACAGATGTCAAGAGGTCAGTCTGATATCTATCCTCTCTACGTAAGCAATTTATCACTGACAGAAGTACGCACCCACAGAGTCCAAACACATTTCGGGTTATCAAAGTTTTGACTGGGGTCAGGAATTACATTTATTACAATTATCATTTTTATCTCGCCTACGACCATCTGAAGCAGGTGAGGAGATGTTTCCACTGCATAAATTGTCTCTGGCTCAAAATGATTAAGCTAACACTTATCCCGGGTTAGGAAACGTAAAAGAAACTAACTGTTTCTGCCTCGAACAATTTCAGATTTTCCCATGGTGTGATCAGCCTGGTGCGCTTTTCATCAGGTATCAGAAGTCGTGACACCCAACGATCAGAAACAAATATCACTGGGCAGAATATTCTACATTCTCACACGGGATATGCTTATAGCATTGGCTATTTGATTTATCGTCAATCACCTGTCATCCCTCATCACGGTATGAATGTACATGGGGCTAAAACATTTTCCTGTAGGTACAAGAGAACACCACGATGCCAAATTTTGTCTATTTTCAGGAGAAATTGCTACTAATTACAGGTGAAGTCTTCTTTGAACAGTCAGATTTCAGTTTATCAGTAAAGAACAATGTATTAATGCATTAATTTCAACTCGTCTTATTAATAAGAAGAGTTGAAATTAATGCATGTAAAATTTCACAGATCTTGCATCACTCCTTCATAGTTAGCCCTTGAACTTTTCAGCCCATTTTCGTATGTCGAAAGAAACAATGTAGTTATTAATATGAAGAGTTGAAATTAATACATGCAAGATTCCACAGCTCTAGCATCACTCCTTCATAGACAACCTATGAACTTTTCAGCCCAGCTCGTAAATATCTGGAGAGGCGGTTGCGTTGGATTCGATCATCTGAGATAAGAACAGTTTCAGATCTTACCAAAGATCAGTTCTGAAATAAAGGAAATGTATTATTTTAAATTCCGTTTCCGAAGCATGTTGATAGATATTAAAAATGATATTGTTCTAGTAATTACGGCGTAAAACTTCAGTATCCTAAATCAGCGTAAAAATACATCAAAGAAAGGTTGTTTTTGGGTTTTTTTTAAGCGTTTCACCCCAAACAAGGAGGGGAGCCACTAGGACGCAAGGGGTTACAGAAAATTTGGAGCAAGATCAGATAGGAGTGATAGAAGAAAGGATGAGGAGAAGAGTAGTGGATAGATCAAGGCAACTGGTGATGTCGATTGACATTACACTTGAATAGCTGGAGATTATAGCTCTCAGGGAAACTGGGATAAGGAAGGGAGTTCCACAGGCGACAGGTGCGAGACATGAAGCTATTGGAGTAGAAGAGACGGCTACATTTAGGAGTTTCTACAGTGAAGGGGTGAAAGCGGGATGCCAGCCTCGTAGGGCGCTTGAACTCATGAAGTCTGAGAACCAGCGAATGCAGCTCCTCGGAGCAATTGTCATGAAAGTATTTGTAAAAGACAGAGAGTTGTGACAGCGCGTCTGTGAGAAAGTGACTGTAGACGAGATGCCAGAGCAGGGCCAATTATATTGCATATCTGCCTCTGGAGCCTATCAAGAACCCCGAGGCAAACAGAAGGGGCTCCAGACCATATATGGCAGCTATACTCCATGCAAGGTGTTGAGCGGGCGGTAGGAAAGCCTACCTACTCCTATTACATATAACACATACAACAACACCAAAAACAGAGGGAACGATGAGAGGGGGAGGTAATTGGCACAGAGTCCTGGCTGACACTTGGATTTTACCCTTTCGCAACATTAAGTTTTAACTTGTATAAGTCCCATTGTCTATTCTAAAAAGAAATTGAAGAAAATAAGGTTATCCGGATTTATTGCTATGTCATAATAAATGCCTCAACATACGTGGCAGCAAGTGTTTGGTCCGCTTTCTTCCTCATGATAACAAGGGAATGTACGGCTTACCTTAAGTCCAAGCATCGACCTGGTGGTGGTTTGAGGGGGGGATCGAATCAGCGGCCAATCCTCCGCCCTCACCAAATACTGGGTTTGGGAGACATGCTTTCAATAAAATTAGGAACAACAGGAGAAAGATACGGCGAAAACAATTCCAAGTTCAGACAATTTGTCAAGCAAGAATAGTCGGCCACTAAATCATAAGAATACTGACGAGAAACTTTCGCATCTGGCCAAAGACATTCAATTTTCCCTCTTTTTCTGATTTTTCTTTCGAACCGGGATTTCTAACTAAACCATCAAATACATTATAATGATTAGGACAAAATGTGTTACTATGGGCAAACACACTGACGAGTAGGGGGAGAAAAAAATAAAATAAAATTTAAAGATTAAAAAAAAATAAAGAATTAAAGAAAAAAATAGAAAAAATTAAAATGAGTTTTCGGTAGAGCGAAATTATACTCACACAGGGCAGCAAGTGTTTGTCCGCTTTCTTCCTCATGATAACAAGTGAATGTACGGCTTACCTTAAGTCCAAGCATCGACCTGGTGGGGGGGGGATCAACGGCCAATCCTCCGCCTTCACCAGATAGTGAGCTTGGAAGACATGCTTTCAATAAAAATTAAGAACAACAGGAGAAAGAAACGGCGAAAACAATTCCAAGAGCGGACAAACACTTGCTGCCCTGTGGGAGTATAATTTCGCTCTACCGAAAACACATTTTCATTTTTTTCTATTTTTTTTCTTTAATTCTATTTTTTTTTTAATCTTTAAATTTTATTTTATTTTATTGCATTTTTTTCTCCCACTACTCGTCAGTGTGTTTGCCCATAGTAATACATTTTGTCCTAATCATTCTAACCTATTTGATGGTTTAGTTAGAAATCCCGGTTCGAAAGAAAAATCAGAAAAAGAGGGAAAATTGAATGTCTTTGGCCAGATGCGAAAGTGTCTCGTCAGTATTCTTATGATTTAGTGGCCGACTATTCTTGCTTGACAAATTGTCTGAACTTGGAATTGTTTTCGCCGTTTCTTTATAATAATATATAAATGTTTTCATCTTTGTCTAAGAACGAGAAGAGATACTCTTAGACATGGTCAACGAATTGAAACCAATGTAGGCGGGTAAATTAAATAAAATGAGCAACAATTGAGCAGTACTAAATAAGAACAAGACGGGATATCCCTAGACATGGTCAGTGTCACGAGAACAGTCTATCGCCGTAGATTAAAGGGTTCAGTCCGAAATCCACTGAAAGTTATCCAATGTCGGGAGAGTGAATATCTTCGTCCGGTAATAATGAAACCATTTGTAATAATATAAAAAAAAACTACTTAGACAATAGTCCGAGTCTAAATAATGTAAATAACTCCTAATACCAGAATGTCAAACAGTAATAAAAAAAATGACAAAGTAAAATATCCATAGAGACGGACAAAGTAACAATAATGAAGACAATACTCCGATGGTAAATAATGATAACTCCTCCCACCAGAAATTCAGACAGAAGGTAATGGAACGGTAATAAAAAAGGACAAGACGAGATATCCATAGACACGGACCAAGCAAACAATGATGAGGATAATAGTTCGAGTGTAAATAATGTAAATAACGATATCTCCTCATACAAAAATTCCGTTAGGAAACATGATTCGTTCTAAAGTAAATCCTTAAAGTTATTTTTCTTTACGTCATTGATATCATGTTGAAAGAAGACATCTCTCAAGAAAGTGAATAAACTATCAAAGAAATATTCCGTGATTTCATTTCCAGTCAATAAGCTTTTTTTTTTTTTTTATTTGCTCTTATTTAAATGTTTGTTTGACAAAAGAAAAAAAAAAACATGGACATTTCTATAGATCACGTGCTTGCTTTTGCTTTAAACTGTTACTGATTTTCTTCTGGGGTGATCACTTGCAAAACTTGTTCGGCTAAATTATCGTCAGTGGTCGTTTACATCTATCAAACAGTATTTTCCAGGTCCAGTGCTTTGGTAAAAGCAATGAATTATGATACATAATGGGAAAAATTCACTTTTCGTTTATAAAAAACCAACAACAAAACTAGTTTAAAAGCTGTCCTGTCGGGTGACAATTAAATTAGCTCCTGCGGAGGGTTCTTGATTGGACCTCTGCAATTTGAGTGTCCCTAAATCTTTCTATATTCTCAGTATTGTAAGCTCTCCTGGATACCGTTTTATCTGGGTTTTCATTTGCACAAGACTTTCTTTTTCTCGCTGCAGCCTTGACTCTTTTGATTGCAATCTGTTATTCTGTTGCTAAAGATTTTTTTTTTTTTTGCGAGGAATACTGCTGCTGTATGCGATAGGCAAGAATAAACTACTGAACACAAAATTGATCGCTGCATTTAATTATTGCCCTAATATTAAAGATTATCTTTTAAAAATTCAGCGACAATTCTTCTGCCGCCATATAATTGAAATATAATTTGATGAGTGTAGGTCATAACTTTCCGTACAAATAATTATTTTTATTTTCCCAATTAATTTCTATTATTTCCAAATTTGTTTCCAAGTTACAAAAATTGTTATCGTAAAAACAATTCATCGCAAAAAATCACGTAAAAAATCGCTGAAAACAATCGCAGTAATGAAAACTTGAGAATCGCAAATTTCTGTAACATGAGCTATTTAAATTTAGAGAGTTGTGTCCCTTTAATTGAAAATGTGTAACACAGTGACACACTGACATTCACATTTATTATGTGATTTATTTTTTACTACTTTTAAAATGTTAGCCTTGAATAAATATTTGATCGTCTAGGTTGATTTTTTTAGTACACGTTCTTTTGAGAGAAGTGTATTCTATGAAAGCCAGACATTTTGTTTTAAAAAATCCTAACATTTTTATATCTTTTTCGGCTCAGCAGTTAAAAACCCACCAAAATTGTGACAGGTCCATTTCTAGTCAGTGGATGAGGAGAGAAGACATTTTGATAGCAAATGGGACAAGGCAAATTAAAATCAAAGGGACAGAAGGCATTTGACATGAAAGTGTTCATCAAGAAGGCACAAAGTTAACAGTCAACTAGCAGAGAGAATAAATAATTTTGAAGTTCAAGTGAAAATTCTCTTTCGGTTGGACAGCAAAGAACAAAAAGAATTCAAAGAAATTTCACCAAACACGAACTGTGAATATAAAAGGGACTTTTCTGAAATTACTATACGTCCCAAAGACACTCATGAGACCAAATAAAAGTAGGTGTTTTCCTTTATTTTTATTTATTTATTTATTTATTTTTTTTTTTTTTTGAAAGGTTGTTGCACCTTTGTTTTTCGGCCTTCTTGAATTGTTTTCTCTTTTTGTCATGGAGTCCTTGTCTTTTTTAAAACTGAAATTGTATTTTTATCCATTTTTCTATGGTTATGTTTTGTTTTTTTATCTGAAATTAGGTATCCGCCTCAATAGGCGTACAAAAGGAAATTCTTGTGCAAACTTTGCATTTGTATCTTTTTTTCGTATTTGTGTCATAAATGTTTTTCCTTTAAAATTTTACACATTGGTTGAGTCTTATTTTGTTATTTGCGTCTCTATGACTTGCAACTAGATAGATTTTTGTGTTTGACACAAGAACTAAGATTTGGTAGGAAATAAAATTTTTATACGTTCTCACTAGATACTTGCCGATTGTTTACGCGAAAAAGCGATCATTGCTACAGTGACTAAGACAGAGGAGAGTGGTATTTAATATGAGATGAAGAAGAGGGGGAATGATTGGGAGAGACAAGGATTAGAGAGGAAGAAAAGAGTGAAGAAGGAGAATCAATGATACCTCATGAGAGAATGAATATCTGACTTTTTTTGTTTAGCGGCACATCAACATCTATGGGTAATTTAATGTCGAAATCTAAATATTTTGCACGCAATTTTATGTTATTGATGGACATAATAATGGTATAGCTGATGGAGAAGAGGTGGAATCATACCTTTCCCAGTGGTATTTGCGCGGAAGTAAATATATAGAACCCAACTGGAATTCGAACTTGGCTCTCCGATTAACAATTCCAAACCATTGTCCATTACACCACCCGCACATCCAAGCTTACAGCACTTGATATTCCCAAGAGATCTCCCATTTAGTCACTGAACAGACACGACGTTGCTTAACTTCAGTGATCGTACGGGAACCGGTGTTTCAACGTGATGTGGCCGTAAGCTTTGGACATTTCGTCCTTACTTTTGGTTGTCATAAACCTGATGATACTTCAGGCCCAGATAAACCCATTTACAGTCCACTGCACTACGTGAGTGACTTAACCAATTTATCGGAAAGCCATTGTGTTGGCTCGACGTTGCTTAACTTCAGTGATCGTAGAGGAACCAATGTTTCAACATGATTTGGCCGTAAACCTACGAATATGTTTGAGAGCGATAGTGATTAGGGAGAAGGAAAGAGTGTGTGTGTGAGGGGCGAGGGAATAGTTATTAAAGTGCGAAAGACAATGATCAAGAATACCTGAAGAGAAAGATAGTATGAATATTTGAGATAGATAGATAGATAGATAGATAGATAGATAGATAGATAGATAGATAAAGAGAGAGAGATAAAAGGAGGAGGGAGAGGAGAAAGAGATAGAAACCTGGAAAAAGTGGAAGATCAAAAAAGTTAAGAGAAGAGAGACATTCAGGAAAAATACCGGATTGTTTAAAAGAAAGAAAGAAAGAAAGAAAGAAAAGAAGAAGAAAGAAAGAGAAACATGCAATGAGAGACCTCTTTAATGGCCTTTGCAAAATATGGCATTAGTTACAAAAATAAGTCCAGCATATTTTTATAAAAAATAAAAACGGTAATAATTATAAGTTTATTAAAAATTCGTTGTTAATTCTAGCTATATAAAAATGGTCAATTCCCATTAACCCTTCAGCAACTACCAGACTTCTCCTGATATGCTCTACTTTTACAAGAATCGCGCCTAAAATGGAGTACTGCTACCATACAAATATTTTCATGGTAACTGCACTAATGAGCTTTTTTTCTTTTGTGCTCCGACTGCACGAATTTAGACTAATAGATACGCCTCTAGGTCTCACTAGCTATATCAATGATTCTCAACGTGGGGCGCATGTCCCACCGGTGGAGCATAGTAATATTTTGGTGGGGCATGCATAGGATGTGCACCCTTCGTCTTACTACACCAACAGAATAAGGGGGCAATTCAAGAATGAGCTATAAACAGTGAATTGTTTTCTAGTGAGCTCAAATTCCATTTTGCAGAATTTCATGATTAAAATATATATTACATAATAAGCTTTCATTGAAGTATTTTATATTTCTGCCTTTCAATTCTCTATTTTGAAACTATATAGCGATTTTCCAATCGGGGCGCAGATGTGGCACAAGGCCGAAAGTATGTGAGGATTGAACTCACTATCCAGTGATAATTGTTCTAGCAAGACAAACTTTCTAACCATTACGCCACCTCGAGGTGCCTGTTTTGAAACTAGATATATTTAACTGTCTTTTTTTCTCACTAGAATTTTAGAAATACCAAAGTGGGACATGGCCCAAAATCTGTCGGGAATCACTGAGCTACATCTGTTATTCATGGTAATCGTTTTGATGAACTTTCCTCTATGACTTTATGAATTGAATTTCGGTACTAGATTGGCAGCAAGGCCCCATCATTTTACACTTGAAATGGCGAGATCTAATCGTAAGTTCTATGCTAACAGCTTCTTCTTAATTGTTTTGATGAACTTTCCTCTATGGTAGCTAGACTTTCTGAATTTAAACGCAGTACTAGATTGGCGGCAAGGTCTCATCATTTTACTGTTGAAATGTGTAGAAGGAACCATAATTTCTATTCTAATAGTTTCTTTTTTGCATTGTTCACCTTTCGTCCCCGCTCCTTACAATCTACAAAAGTTTAAATGCAACATCAATCGCCATTTTCTTGAACTCTGTTCTGTTATGGTCCTTTCTCCTCACTAATCTCTTCTCATTCTTTGACTCTCAGTAATCCCTCGCATCTTAGTGGTATTATCGCCGTGCTTGGCAGTGAAATTATTAAAAATAAACAAACCGTGATTGCCCATTTCTTTTTATTTTAACCTTAACTCAGAATCTTTAAGAAAAGATGCATGAATGCAACCTGACTATATAAGCCCATGATCGGCTTTAACTATCTTCCAGCTGAGTTTCACTTCCTTCTGAAAGTTTGTATTTATTTCTTTCCTTTCCTTACTTCTGAACAGTTCTATTGACTCAATCGTTTTTTACGGCTTATCAACACTTTGCAGGTTATGTAAAACCAGAAAATATTTTTAGATTGTAAGATAATAAAAATCTATTGATACAAGTCTTACTAACTGACCCATAGCTTTGGGAAATAGATAGATTCTTATCTTTCCTAAGCGTATTTGTGTGTAAGTGAATATAACGAACCCAACTGGAATTGGAACATGGCTCTCCGATTAACAATTCCGAACCGTTATCCATTGCACCACCCGCACATCAAAACTTACGATACCTGCTATTCCCAGGCGGTCACACATCTATGTACTGACGAGGTTTGACGAGGTTTGATGTTGCTTAACTTTGGTTATCGTACGGGAACCAATGTATCAACGTGATATGACCGTATGCCTTAGACATCTTTAGTTTACTGTTGGTTTCCATAAAATTGTTGATACTTCAGGCCCAGATAAAATGATTTACAGTTCATTGGATTACGTGATTGTCTTAATCAATTTAATCAGGTACTTATTGCTTCACAATTTAACCAGGTTCGGCCCTTCAGTATCTGTGTATATTTCTGAGATGAGGTATTATGTAAAAAACAAAAGGTTAGAAAGGAAAGCGTGATAACAGTTACTGGACTTCAGAAACCTAGCTTACGGTTAGTTGTCATAAAATTGTTGATGCTTCAGGCCCAGATAAAATGATTTACAGTCCATTGGATTACGTGATTGTCTTAATCAATGAATCAACTTTACCTTTTTCCTATTTGGCTCTTTTCACAGTTCGGTTTCTTTTGTAGATATTATAAGGTTGTTGTAGTGTGTTTCAATGTCATCATATTGATCAGAGATCATTTCATAACGATTCTTAACATTTACAGCAAAGGAGTGTCTCAAATTTCTGTTTGATGATACCCTGGTTCAATCGACTTATTTCGTATGGGGTGAAACTAGCAGTTTGGATGACCTTAGGCTAAGAACGACATGTAACGAAACAACTCTGTGATCAGAACCGACACATGCACATGAGAAGGCCGAATATTCCTGGACATTACGAACACTGTTCTTCCACTTGTTTCTCACGATGATGTCATCAATTTGTGATCGAGTTCCGGTTGGATGTTAGAATGTTCACAGACGGTTTGGATGCTTCATGAACCTCATGATTGTAATTTGTGGTTGGAACTCTTGAGCGATGTCTGTGGGTTCCCCCCCCCCGTTTTGTTTGGTCTCCTTATTATATGTGAATGGGGCATCATCCTTCCTTATTTGCCTATTGAAATTGCCTGAGATAACGAGGAAGTTATGGGTGCGGACTTTTTCTGTTACTCACTTCAGATCAGAGTAAAAAATAGATAGAAAATGATCCGACGTATTTAGATAGATAGACAGATAGATATATAGATAATGAACATATTGAGATAGAGAGTTTGATAAAGAAAAGATTGTGATAGATAGGTAGTGAAGTGACTGTGATAGATAGAGAGAGAGAGAGAGTAAGAGAGAGATTGATAGGTAGATAGATCTTGTATAGATTGAGATAGAATGATAGATAATGAACATATTGATATAGAACCATAGATAAATAGATAATGAACAATTTTTCATACATCAATAGTTAATTAGCAGATTATGATAGATAGATAATGAACAGGTTAAGATAGAAAAATAGATCGATGGATAGATAACAGATTGAGATATATCGATAGATAATGAACTGATGTCGATATATTCACACATTTAACAGATTTAGAAAGATTGATAGATAGTTATATAGATAATGAACAGATTGAGATAGATCGATATATAATGAAAAGTCTGAAACAGATTGATGATGAGGCATACATATTACCGCGATAGATCTTGGCCACTCAACGACAATCCAATGTCTTTCATAACCTTACAAATTTATAAGTATAGTAGTAGGAAGTCAAATCTTTATGCTAGTAAAACTATTTCGATGATTTTACTGTTGAATACCTATTTGAATACTTCTCTGACCTACATTTGAAGCCACAATTTTAACCCTTGCTGCATTCGTATTGTGGGGTTTTGGCTTCTAATGAAGTCCACTCTCTGACATACACATTTTCTGCATAGATTGCAAGTGAAATCAGACTGTATATCATAGTTATTCCGTTAGGTTTAACCAATGAAGCCAGCTTTTGAAAGGCTAACGCGCCCATATGTGCAGGTGAGAGTTTATTAACTGTTGTTAGTAAGAGGCTTACATTTTCTCTGTAGTATATTGCATATAAATAATCTGCAATATATACGATTATGATGCTGAAATGTTCTTTACCCGACATTAAGATCTGTCGAAATGTGCAAACCTCAGGATTATTATTTGGCTGGCTAAGTGCTTTTCTGCACAGACTTGTATGATAGATAATATATTATATACGTATATATGTCCATTTCCCGCAGAGTACGCTTGGGAAGAGATATAACTAATATATAAAACACCATTCACAGAGAAGAGAAAGATAGAGTCTTCTCCAGACATCGGGAGGCGTCAGTGTAATGGCTTTGTTTCGAGTAAAGGGCCCGACACTTACACACTGGTTGACATTAATTGAAGGAGTGCATTATGCAATTGGTTGGTTGAGTGATGAAGTCTGGTGTTGTGATTAAGCGGTAAAACGACTTCATTTTAACTTTTTATTTATCAATCTAGCTAGACACAAACACACATACACACACATATACATATACGTATACATAGGGTATTATAACGAACAAATAGAAAACGTTAAGAAATTTATTTGATTTATATAATCTCATTCTGTCGGATTTTAATCGATATTTATTCTATACTTGATCCCAATTTATATAACATCTCTAAACATTTACAACAGTATGCCTATCCACATTCGCAATTTAGTAAAATTTTAGTAAAATTCTTGTTGAAAATACATCTAACCTTTTTATTGAAAATAATACACGTCAACTAAAAATTCTTGAAGCTATCTACATTAAAATTGAAAACCAATATTTAATAAAATTAATTATGATTACTGCACAATTGTTTTAAGATGTTTACAGTTGATAGTTTAAAATGTATAGGTTTTAACTAATAGTTTTTAATAGATTTTTTTTTAAATATTTAAACATTTCAATAACTTAGTTAACTCCCTTGACGTTTGCACGTGTGTTTACATGATAAAATTTAATTTTCAGATGAACACAACAATTTTTTTGTGTTAGAAAAAAACAAGACCCTGAAGATGACATTGTGCTAATGTCGAAAGTACTCGGAATAAAATGAATATGTATCAACATGGTAATTTTCCTGTCCGTAATTACATGAGGATCCTATTAAAAATAAGTAGACTAACCTTGTATAAATTATTTAATGATACATCTGTTAATGAAATCATGCTACCAAAATATACGCAATATATATATATATATATATATATATATATGATTGTATAAGGAACAAATAGGAAGCGTTTAGAGATTTATTTGATCCTTATACTATCATTCTGTTTGATTCTAATTCATATTTGCTGTATACTTGATCTCTATTCATATATAAATATATACTCAGCTCAAGCAAGGCAGTAAAGCTACTAAGACGGAAATGAGGATACTGGGAGCGAAAGAGCATGAAAAGACTTTAGAAAGAAGCGAAAAACCAATCGTAAACAGAAAAAAGTGATAAAGATTTCTTCAAAAGACCGGGAGGAGTGTAAACAGGGCGATAGGCAAACCTATATTTATATATATATATATATATGTATGTATGTATGTATTAATATCTAAGGCTTATGGCTGTATCAAACAGAAGCACCAGCTCTCGTACGAGCACTGATGTTAAGTAACGTCGAGCCTAGTCAGTAGCTAGATTGGTAATCGTTTGGGAACATCAGGATCTATAAGCTTGTATGTGCGGGTAATGGCTATCTGTTCTGAAGTAGAAAACGGAGAATGTAACAATCGGCTGGAATTCGAACTTGGTTCTCCGATTTCCTGTCCCAAGCCGTTATCCATTACACCACACGCACGTCCAAGCTTAAAGCACCTGTATTTCCAAGTGGTCACCCATCTCGATAATGACCAGGCTCGACGTTGTTTAACTTCACTGATCCTGCGAGTCCCAGTATTTCTGAGTGATATCACCGTAGGCCGTCCATTCACGAAGTAACGATATAGAAATGTAGCATTATACAATGAAAGAAGGACTAAAAACTCACGTTATCATTCGTCGTCACTACGACATCATTACAGAAAGCATAGTGACCAACAACGCCACCAAGCGTTTCTTAACTTTCAGGCGGGATGTAGACATGTTAATATCGCCTGTGAAGAATCTGTATCACGAAAGTGTGTTCAGTTGACTTGCTTCCATATCTCAGGTGACGGGAACAGTCTGTAAACGGATAGGATTTAGTGTTCTACGTGCTATCGACCATAATGACGATCAGTACATTCAGACCTATGCCTTGTACCATTATCAAGCAAGAACGACCTCGTCTCAAATACGTCTGAGAGCTGTCATTTACCAGGTCTTTTGGTGGATTTTGTCATTTCCGTTTTGTCTCGAGGAACTGAGATTATTTTCCACTCTGCTTCCTCTATCCCATAAACGCAACATCGCAAACATATCACAGCTCCGTTGCAATTTCCATGGTAAATGTTCAGATGCGCTCTAGTCTTTATTAATTTGTTTTTTTACGACTTTTTTTTAAAATTGTAATATTTTTTCGATAATAATGATTTTAATTATACATGTTCTACTAATTAACCCATAGCTAGAGGAGAAGAGGGGGATTCTTTCTCAAGGTTACTTGCATATAAGCGAATATAACGAACCTGACTGGAATGTTAACTTAGCTCCCCGATTTCTAATTCTGAGCCGTTAACCATTACACCACCCACGCCACAAACCTGGTATATTCGCAAGCAATCACCCATCTAGATACTAACCAGGTTAGACGTTGCTTGACGTCGGTGATCGTACGAGAACTGGTATTTCAACGTGATCTGGCTGTAAACCCTCCATTTTCTAGTTCCAAAAATCCAGACATTTACAGATTCGAATCACTATCTCCCTCTCCGTCTTCCATTTGTAAGAAGAAAATTGCATTCAGACGGTTTTCCCCAAAGAAATGCCACGCACCAGTGCTTCCTAGAACACTTTAATTTTTCACCTTTTCGTGTCAAAGGTCAATCGTTATCTAGCCTCCTTATCCTTATACTCTTCACTTCCTACTCTTCATTTTTCATAAAATACAATTCATTTATCATTACCATTTTCACTGCAACGCACTACTTTGAATGGCTTTCGAGTATTTAAAAAGAAATTGAGGACTATAACTTGCTAACTTAAGTTTAAGGTCTAATGATTTTTTCTTTTTCTTTCAGATTTAACAACTTAAGTCTTTGGCAATTTCAACCATTTCCAAGTCACTGGAACACCCTTTAGAATATGCCATCCCATAATATGCAAACTTTACCGTCTTGTACAGTATGACAGGCAGCCGTTGTTATGTCCCTAAAGGACAGATATCGCCAAATGTGTTTTTGCAAAGCACATGAATCCATGCAATGTAGATACTTTTTTTAATCATTTAACCCCTAGTAAATTGGTTTACGGTCATATCACGTTGGAACATCGGTTCCTGTACGAACACCGAAGTTAAGCAACGTCGAGCATGTTCAGTACCTAGATAGAGGACTTCTTGGGAATATCAGCTGAGAAAGCGTTTTCTACAGATGACAGTTTAGATATTTATAAACAACTTTGACGCTATTATAATCCGTGGAGTTTTGAGTGTGTTTGTGCGAGTGAATGATAATAATGTGCTCAGTAATATCCCGTAGGTAAATAATATTTACCCGGCCTCTCACCAAAGCTGGGCGTGACACGTTTGTTTTAACGTGGGGAGCGCTATTCACATACCTATGCATATGGGCCAAGCACAAAAATTATGCTTTTACTCATCCTCCCGCGACAAATGTCACGCTGGCATTGGTATTATACCAACCCAACCAAGGTGTTGCCGCAGGGTTGGTATTCCCGGGGTTGAGAAACTTCTCCCATCTAAAATGAAGAGAAACATAGCTCCACAAGAGAGTGGGGGGCGTTAACCACGTCTCGGTAAACTCTAATTGGCTAATAGTTAACTCCTCTGCCAGATAGGTCAGACTGGCTAAGTAATGCTTGCCCCAGTAATGACCACACTTTCCTGTTACAGGTTAGTCCTCCCCCGAATATAATACTGAAACCCCTAATTCAATAACTGATCTCTACGTCTCCACACTTGGGGGTTACGGCCATATCACGTTGAAACACCGATTCTATTATGATCACCGAAGTTAAGCAACGTCGAGCCTGGTAACTGTTTAGGAACACCAGGTGCTCTAAGCTTGGATGTGCGGGTGGTGTAATGGATAATGACACGTGATTGTTAATCGGAGATCCGAATTCAAATCCAGCTGGATTCGTTATATTCATTTACGCGCAAATATTCTTGGAAACAGTACAAACCCATCCCTTCTCCCTCCAGCTATGGGTTAAGTAATAAAACTTCTATCGCTAAAACGATTATTATCTCAAAAAACAATTGTATAGAATATATTTAGATTTCGGCATTAAATAATACATAGAGGTTGATATGCCGCTAAAATATAACAACCAAACATGGAAGGCGATAAAGCCATTAAGACACAAGAAATTACACAGAATAAAAGACACAGAGAAAACGTTATTGAGATAAAAGTAAAATAAAAGAACGTGATTCAGGAGACAACATATGGTGATTGACGTTGCATTTACATTCCTAATGATCGTAATTGGCGGGATAGCAAGAAGCCGGAAGAGATTTCCATAGTGAGGAACGCTTATAAAGAAACTCTTAGAACATATTGCAACAGTGGTTGACAATGATAGTTTGCGAATGAGTACAGAATCAATGTGTACTAAAACGATTGTCGTCTACGAGTATGGGTTTATTGAGTGATTGATTTGTTTTTTTTTACGGTTTACCAACCTTTTGCAGGTTATTTAAGTCCAGAAAAAATTTTAGATTTTCAAAGTTTTTTGGAGGTAACAATGATTTTTACTGATACAAGTTCTACTAATTAACCCACAGCTGGGGAAAGAAAAGACGGATTCATACTTTTCCTAAGGGTATCTGTGCGTAAGTGAATATAACGAACCCAACAGGAATTCGAACTCGGCTCGAGGATTGACAATTCCGAGTCGTTATATATTACACCAGCTGCAGACAAAACATTACAGTACCTGATATTCCCAATCGCTCACCTACCTAGATATTGACCAGGGTCGGCGTTGCTTAACTTCGCCGATCGTAAGGGGACCGGTGTTTGAATGTGATACATCTGTTAGCTTTGGATATCTCAAGTTTACTTTTGGTTTGTCACTACTGGTACTTCAAACCCAAATAAAATCATTTACAGTCTACTGGACTACGTGAATGTCATAACCAATCTATCAGAGACCCACTGATCTGTCTCGACGTTGCTTAACTTCGGGGACCGTATTAGAAGCGGTTTTTCAAAGTTTGTGTGTTTAATGGCATATCAACATCCTTATGGGTCATTTAATGCCGAAATTTAATTTTCTTGAGAGCATTAGTAATTTCTTTTACAATATGGTATTTCTGGTAATATTTTTTTCATTACTGTAATGTATTTTTGTAAATTTTTTATTTTTTCATTTACAAAAATGTATTACTGGTAATATTTTTATTATGAAAATGTATTTCTGGTATTCTTTTTTTGTTTTTTTTACTTTAATCGTGTTTGGACCCCAATTTAGGGTGGCAACTATTTTCCCATAGCTGGAGCCCTGACAGGTGCTACCACCCCAGGTCTGGGTGGCTCTGGGCTAGTAATGAATATGTCGTCATTCCACACTACGTCAAACAAAAGGTTAGGAAGGAAAATGCAAAACTGATCTCAGCACAATGGTCAGCGAATGAAGAAAAGTGTAGCTTAAAAGCATTGGCTGTTTGGCCACTGAATTCCAATGTTTCTATATAAGGAAATGGCTAATATTACCATTATCATAAGAGATGAGGAGAACAGATACTACACGTTGCTCATAAGACATAATCTGATCAAAGTATGAGGATATTAAAGGGAATCTTATTTTTATTTTATTCTATGCAGCGTGTTTCTTCAGAGGGTGGGTGATCATAGCTCTCCACAAGTTCCTATCGCTTTGGAGCTCTAAGAACGCCTAGGAAAAATAAATCTATTTTGAAAAGATGTTAGAATAATTCAGAACCGCCTTATACGGATAAAAATGAATTCAGTAACTACACAAAAGCAAAAAGGGGCGTTATACAAAGATTTGTCTTCTCTCCAGATTTATTCAACGTCTGCAGTGACTCTATCCAGATTTATTCAACGTCTGTGATGACTCTCTCCAAAAGAAATGGAGATCCTACCATGATTTATTATTTCTGGGCATAATCTTAACCTTATAAGATACGCAGATAACACTTTGTTGGTGGCTGACTCGGAAAGAAAACTGCAGGACCCTCTAGATGGTAGTAGAAGAAAGCGAGAATAAAGGACTAACTATCAACTTTAAGAAAACAGAAAATCTGGTCATCAGCAAGAGGAAATGTCAAAGAGACGAGTTACGGTTTGGAGATATCAACATCAATCAAAGGCAGAAGTTTAAATACCTGGAGGTGTTTTCACAGACGAGGGAAAATATGAGATCCGAACACGGACCAGCGAAAGAAGCATTCCAACAGCTAAGCAAGGTCCTAAGAAACACTTTGTTAGAAACAAAGAAAAGAGATTGCTATGTGATATCCATCCTTTTATATGGCAGTGAATGGTAGACAATCTCCCCACGGATGAGGAGAAAACTAGAGGCAACAGAAATGTGTTTCTACGGGAGGATGCATATGACAAGGATTCGTCTTCTCCCCAGATTTATTCAACTTCTACAACGACTCTATCCTGAGGGAGCTGGAGATCCTATTAGGATTTATTATCGGTGGGCGTACTGTTAATAATATAAGATACTCAGATGATGACACTGTGAATAAAAGTCTAACCATGAATAACAAGAAGACAAAGTATGGCCATCAGTAGGAAAAAAAAGCCTAAGATACAAGTTATGGTTTGGAAGTATCAACATCAAGGAGGTGAAGAAGTTTAAATAATTGGGAAACATTTTAACAGTGGATGGAAAATATGAAACCGAAATCCAAACACGCATTGGGTTAGCGAAAGAAGCATTCCAAAATCTAAGCAAGATAATGACAAAAGAAAATATTTACTTAGAAATAAAGATAAGAGTGATTATATGGGAGTGAATATTTGACAATCTCTCAACGGACAATCTTATATGGCAATGAATGTTGGGCAATCTCCCCAGGAATGAAGAAAAAAACTAGAAGCAGTAGAAATGTGGTTCTACAGAAGGATACTGAGAATATCATGGATGGAGCGAGTAAGCAACAAGGAAGTCTTAAAGAAAAGGGTAATAAAAAGAACACGTATACATCAGAATCAGGAAAAGACAGCTGAAATTCTTTGGACCGTCTGACCGGGCATCTTGAGGGCAAGAGAGATAAGGGAATCAAGTGAACCATTTCCCTGACGTGAATGGATAGCGAAAATTAAAGTAGGAGACTTAGAAAAGGGGGAAAAACTGCTAAGCGCCACAAGGGATATGAAGTTGTGGTGAGCCATGATCACCTATATCCTGAGGGGATTCAGAACATAGAAGAAGTATCCATCTTATATCAGTTGAATAAAACACCCCACATCGCATTGTTTTATATAGAAATAATTAATATCTGCTTTGTCAAAGTTCAGTCGTAAGTTAGCAGAAAATGTTATGAAATATGTCTGTGCTTACATTCAAAGAAAGCGTAAAATAAACGTCATCTTGTAATGCTGCCTTTTAAAATAACGATTTTTTCTTCATTTCTTTTTCTTCCTTCTTTTTGTTAGAAGCGCATATAAAGTAAATAATTTTTTAAAAATTAGAATTTTTATCAAATTTTATTGACGGCAACGATCTTATTTCCTTTGGCGTTGTTGTCGTCTGCCATTTCAAATTATGATAAATTAGTCGAGTGGAACCTAAAAACCTCTTTACGGAATTATCTAAATAAAAGTAGCTCCCCACCCCAAGCTACAAAAGATTAAAATGCATTTCAAAAATGAAAAATCTTTCTTGAAGCTTTTGTTTTAGTTTTAATTGTAAATTAATAGATTAAATTTAATATTTCTAATAAACAAAATATTTTGCTGTATTTCAAAACTAATTTAACTTTTTTTTTAAATCGCTAATAATCGTTGATCCATTTTTAGCCATCTGTCATAATGTAATTCTCTTTATTAAAAAATCTTTCAAAAATAAAGTATACTTTTCTGAAACATTATTTGAGGAAGATTAACTGATTTAATGTTTAATTAATCTGAACCAAAACAAATATCACTTACTTTCAGTTTAAAATATCGGAGAAAAGCATTTTTCAAGACAGAGTTTGGAGTTTCATTGAGATGTTGACGTATTTATCGATAACCTGACGATTGCGAGATTTAGGTTAGGGGGAGTAAAATACGATACGAATACAACACCTTTTTTTTTCTTTTTTTAGATATTTTTTAACAACTCAGTAACCTTAAAATTGTTAAATATTTTAAACATTCTAATATTTTAGTGAATTTTAGGTACTTTTAATTTATAGTCTTAC